TCGTCTGAACTGTTCCGACTTACGAAACATTTATAGTTAACAAGCGAGTTCAAACAACGAAGAAAAAAAGAAACAGAAAGAAACTCACCTAGGAACCAAAACACTAATCATTTTACGCAACATCAACAGGTGAAAACTTTATAACCTCATGTATAAGCTCGATATGAAAAAAGAAACAATAAAAACCTACCCTAAATGAAGCTCTCACGCTTTTTGCTCATTTCTATCCTGAATCAAGGAAAGAATGGAACAAAAGCCATTAAGCTTGGTTCACCTTCTTTGTGTCAACCGAGCTCTCAGTACCACCAGGAGAAAATTGCAGCTAAAAAGAAAAGCATGTAATTGAGTCGTTTCTCCCTAAAAGCCTTCGAAGCGGTACAAGTAATAACATTGAGGCGCGCTCTGCCATGTACGGACGATCGCCGGCGATCGCCCGCTGCTGTCTCGAAGTATGAAGCGGCTGGCCTCACAATTGCTGGCTCTACGTGCAGCGCGCTGGTTCATAGATCGTTTCTTGCATTCCATAAGATAAGGAAAGGATAAAGTCTTCGCCGTTGATCAATCCCTTTGTGGGATGCGGCACGCATTCTACTTCCATTCAGAATCGTAGTGGGTTATTGAATGCGATGTGGCCTATACAATGACTTGCGGTGGCCAGCCGATGTACAAGTCAGTGTTTTATCCTCCCAGACGAATCTGGTACCAATTCACCGTCCCCGGAGGGTAGAAGGCTTGGTTGGCCTGGGCGGGAGTCGACCCGGGATTCGAACCCGGACCGCGCGAATGGTGAGCGCCCCACTTGTCACTACACCATCTCCGCCTCGTCGTTGCATCATACAGTACTAAATCCTATTCAACACTTGAAGAAAAAGAAACAAAAGCAAGAGAAGCAACCACCAACAACGGAGACGAATTTTGGAGTCACGGTAGAGGTTTCAGAGCGCGAAGACCAACTTTTCGCGCGAAAAAAATCTTGAAGCATTCTGGATTCAGGTCGCGAATCCAAGAATGAACCAGAGGGGATAATGCTTATCGATCACACGAGAGCTATCTCCCTATATAAGATTAGCTTTTTAACACCCATTGCGTACCGCGTGCTGCACCATGTGCAGCACGCTTCGCTTGACTTATTTAAGCACTCGTTCGCTGACCCGACGAGTATCAGGTACATTTGAGAAGTCTTCCTTACCGTGTAAAGAAATTTATAATGTGTCGGAAATTGCAGGACCAAACTAGAGCTGAGCTATCGAAATTTTTTGGGGAATTTTTCAGCTATTATATCCTTTGTCTATTTCTTAGTAATCAGTCAAGCCAAAATTCTGGCTGTGACTCCACTAAAAATTCGCAAAATAGTAAAGCTGAACAATTTATAACATATTACGTCCTGCTTCCAATCCTTCTTGAATTTGTCAACCTTTTTTTGTCAAGTTCCGCATGTTTTTAGCCCATCGCGTTTATCACGTAATGGTATCCAACTTTACTCATGCATAACAAGTGTAATGTATAATACGAAGTATATGCATTATTTTTATGTCATACGTATATGATAAAAATCACATTTGTTTATACTCGGCGCGCCACGAGTCGCGTCGACAAAAAGGCGTCGGCCACAGGCGCCCGTTTTCGGGAAAACGCCGCGGTACGCAATGGGTTAACTGGCTCTAGATAGTCTCAGTTAGAAGCTCCATCACCGGAAGCCTCTTGGTTTCATCCGGTGTCTGGTTTGTGGTTGCGCCTTAGGTGTCTTCACTTCGTTATATCGTGCTGGACTTAGTGGGGTGAAAGGGTGAGGAGTGCGTTTGATGCTAGTTCGGATATCATGATTCGGCTTGACCCTTTCCTGCTCCGAAAAAGGCGAAACCGCCGAAACGTCAGCCGAAAAAAGCTTATAACAACCTCGTCAAACAGTTTAAAAGACGTTACAACGACATATATCAAGGTAAAGCACTTGCAAACAAGTTCCTCTCACAGAAATATAGCCAAAGTAGCACTTCGACAAACTCTCTATACGAACTTAGGATTACGCTAAGCAATGGACGACGAGCTATTGCACGAACACAGTTGGTGGATGCAAGCAGCGCCGAAGCACATCTTACTTGCATGCTGAACTGCCCACAGGCCTGCTTGGTTTTCAAGCACGGTAATGCAGCGTGAGAGCAGAAGCATTTGTGAGCTCGCGAAGAGTCTCAAGCACACCATTTTGTGCGACACATACATGAGCTCGTTTTAGCGTCGAATGCAGACAGCAGAAAATTAAATGCACGTGAATTCAGCTGTTAAGTTGGTGTGCTTACAGGTTTGAAATTACAAAGCTGCGAAAAGGGTGCAGTCGTCTGTGCTCTGTTCAATCGCGACGCCCTTTTGAGTGACAGTACACTTTTTGCGAGCGTGGACCTGCATACCAAATGGCACACGCACTTGATCACGATCTTAGTCACGGTTAGACGAGTGCAGCGAATCGCGTCTCCCGTGCCGACGACCGCCTCATGACATGGTGCGAGATGGGCATGAACCGGGAAGGTGTGATTGAAATCGAGTTCTAAAAAAAGAAATTCATCTCATCGCCGAGAGTTTGTCCAAGGTCTCTCTGGCTTGATTGGCCCTGGAGTTCGTCCATCCGGACCAACGCGTGATAAGCGCATCAACTTCCAGCTACAACCACCCACCACTATAAGAAAATGAATGATGGAGGAAAACTTCCAGTGATAGCCTGCTTTGTACAGACTGTCTACTCTTCCAACCTCGACAACTCTCTCCGCTTGCGCAACCCATCTTTGAGTTCTCTGATTTCCTTACAGTTTTCCTTCGCTGCGGATGTCGGGGCATATAAGTGTGGGGTAGGTTTGCCAACCCCCTTTTCTACCCGTTGTGAAGCGAGCAAACGACAAGTGCGTATCATATCGTTTATCATTCGTTTCACAGCTGTCGTTCACGATTCCCGCTTCAACGATTGCGCAAGTTGAACGAGCAGTGCGCGCGACAAACTCAGCCTCACTGACACGCCCCTTCATATGCAGCGAACAAGACTGTAATAGTACTATATTCAGCATGAAAACCTGACTGTATTCAGATGAAAAAAACCCGAAGTTGAACTTCGTATCATTAATAAATGTTGCTCTCGGGGGTTGAAAACAAGTTCACTCTAGCCTTGTGAACGGAGTCAGGCTTACTACGACCTCTTGTGGCTCCCTACTGACGCCCCTTTTTCTTCGTCTTTTACGGAAGTGAGAGTGCACCAATGAGGAGGGCACAATGCTAGAACGGACTCCACACACGACCAGCTTGAACTGCACTGTAAATTGCGTGTGTGTGTGTGAGTGGGGGGGGGGGACAGTTCTATTCACAGTGATCGCAGGAATGCCGAGTTATGGGCAGAAATGTTGACCCTGAGCGGAACTTGAACCCACACTTGACGTTTTCCAGTTGAGTGCGCTATCCGTTTCGCCATTGCTCCGAGTTTACTCTCACAGCTTGGCGGCTTTTATGCCGGAATCGAGTTCTTTTGACCATAAGTCATCATTCTTGTGATAACTTTCGCAGCGCGAATTACGGCGTTGAACAGCAGTTATCATAATAAAACAGCTTTAATCCACAGTCTCCACAAGGGATACTGAGTCAAAATAATTTATTTTGGCAGCACCAAATTCACTCGAATGCGCGTATTCACGGGAAGTGTGATAAAATAATACAATGAAGAATGACGTGGTCAGATTCACAAAGAGAATGGAGTCTGGAGGAGGGAGATATGAAGGATTTGAGACACCTGTGTAATGAACATCATGAGGTACATACGATGTACAAAAATAGAATACTTATTGTATGTATAGGTGATAAAGCTCGCTGAGCACCGGATTCTATTGACCAGAGTATCGACTGGAAAGTGATTTTTGAGACAAACACGCCTCCTATACAAAGGCGACTATAATCTATGGAAAGGAAATTTGAACAGCTCAGCAACTCAAAGTGGTGAAGGGAGGGGGGGGGGTGTTCTTGCTTGCGTTGGGTCCCTCGGAATTTGACAAAAGAGGGTGTTGATGTTGCGCAGGCAGGCGGTCCTTTATGTCACTTGACTGGAGCTGGGTGACGTGTCTCTGACGTCACATAACACGTCAATGACGCGTTTGGCATTTTTGACAAAAAACAACTGAGTCTACTTGGATCTATCTAGTCTATTTTAATTGGAACATCATCTCTTAACCCATGAGGGGTCAAGGACCTCTGCTACAACTAACACTGCTTCCCGTAGATGGTCTGCATCTATTTCTAGAAATTCAAATTGCCAGGCTCGAGAGGGTTTCGCTCCCAGGGACCACAGCGCTCATAGCTAGGTGTCATTTTAGGATACCGATTTGAGTTGCTTTCTGAACGATACTATTGATAACATAATGGACAACCCTGGATAGGAACCGATAGATAGAGATAATTTCATTATTTAACAGATCGGTTATTATTGGTCATCAATTTGAGCGACACCACACCCGTCAATATTTGCTAAGTGTTCTAGATAGAATCTGAGATAGATTGTCGATAAGACATCTTCTTACCAAGAAGAAGCTCACATAAAAAACCAATGTCTATATGGAAAACTGGGGAATCTAGTCAGTTATCAAGGAATTTGGGAGAATTATAGAAAAGCTCGTTCCGCGATAGTCGATTGGGCGGAGACCTATAACCTTGGAGGTCTTGTTCAATGGCGCGCCACTCCTCTTCACTGTATTGGAAGAAAGAGCGAACCATGAAGAGATTAGGGTTATTACTCGAGTCTACGGAATACCATGGAAGCGGATAGTGACACGAAATGGTATCCAATTCATAACCTAGTAATTGAAAGGTGATAGCGCTGCACTTCATGGGCCACGCTTCGCTCTTTTCGCACCGGATTTCCAATACGACGCTCAAGCTTTTCGCTTAAGAGTCCCGTTTCTCTTAAGGTTGTGCCTATCGGCGAAGTAGGCGCAGCGCTGGCTAACGTCAAGAGCAAAAGATGGCTCCGATGTGAGCTAGAGGAATGTGACATGAGGATCGGTGGCGATCTCTTCAAGAATGAGTGCCACTTGGGAGTCGCACTCAGTCGCTCCTGGAGGCACTTTCACCGTAATCGGAAGCGGTCGAACAACGTCCGGCATTGTTGTGTATAGACTCGCAGGACGTCTTCGGCGGACATCGTTCGCCGCTAGTAAATCCGGACAGTTGTTCTCGGTGGTTTCCGGAAGAGAGTGCTTCTTGCCTGAAATAGACGAAATGGTCCTACGGGATCTAATTTGAGCCTAATGAATGATCCCGAGAGAACTTAGAGATGTGTCCCAAAAATTGCGCACGATTGGAGGATGCAAGGAATAACAATGAATTGGCGCAGATTGTGGAGTCAAGAATAACAAAGAAGGTTAGTATCATGGCTAATATGGGCACAACAGTACGCAAAAAGCGTCAGTGTCTTACGTCTCCGTTTTCACGGGTACACAATTGTTCTCGCTAAGCTTCTCCATACATGGAAGGGGAGGGAGCGGGTGTATCGTTGATGCTTGCGTACTGCCTCGCGAATTCTCCTCGGCTGAAAATCGATGAATCACCTCAGGGCACTGCACAACGTCACCGCAAAGTACTGCGCTTCTCCAACCATCATCTCGTACCAAGTTCATGCCAAGCAAAGGCATATTTATCGATTGGTTAGTGAACCGAGAGACAAGGGGTGGGATAGAAATGCATGGAAAAGTTTGTCATGACAAAACCACCCACATCCGGGTCGATATGAGGGATTGGATGAGGTTGACATGATAGGTTTGTAGGTAGGAGATCCGTCTTGATTGCACGTCAATTGACTGAAAACATCACTTCACATGAGGGATGGATGGAGAAAAACAAACAGGGAAACAAAAAACTAAACTGTCAAATAAATCTTGCAATGGGATACGAAGAGCAGGGAAAGGAAAGGTTAAAAAGGAAGGTTAAAAACCGTGCACAACGGGCAGACATCTGTGCAACCGCCGGGGCCGTTCGTGCACGGGAACCGGATGTATCATCTCCTTTTTCTGCAGCTTGATATCATATCATAATGTCTACTAATCTTTTTCTCTGACGTGTTCTTAGACTCTGGTCTCTCGATATGGCTAAGTAGTCTATCGCATCCTTCCCTATTGCTTTCAATTGAAGACACATTCCGCGATGGTCGCATGGGCGGAGACTCGAGCCCCTGTGCAACCATTACTGCTATGCTCTTTCCTTTGAGGCGATGAAGATGATGGGAACGCCATCAAGAAACACACGCATATTATGGGTCTCCACCGATTCGTTTATCGCGGAATGTGTCCTTAGCATCAGTAATAGTTTCGTGTTGTGGAGATTCTTTAGGTCAACTAAGGTTTTAAAAATTTTTCGCTCACATAAACCTGTGAGGCGTCAGAATCAATGAAGGTACAGTATACTTTACTTTTAGCTTTTTTTTTGCTTGTTCTCAGGTTGTCGAGCCTTTGCCTATAGAAATTGCATGAAGTGGTCAATCTTCGTGAGACAACCGTTCCCATTTTTACTCGGTTATGGCAAGGTCACAGCATGATCACATGTCACGCCGAACACTTCCACGGATTCGTGCAGTCGTACGGTTTAGATCGTGCACACAAAACAATGACATGGACACCAATATTGGTTGATAATTAACTTTTGTACAGGGGTTTCTAAAGGGAATTACGCTCTCGATAACTCACCTCATGAACCGCATCTGTTGATTCACTAGTCGTCCGACAGCCGATTGCCTCGTTCTGACATTCTTATACGGTTGGAATAATACAATATACACCTTAAAGTGGTAAGTATGGAAATAACTGAATCAGCAAATAAGTAGACAAACATGCAATATAGTGAGTTGAAGAGCAATTGCAAGAAAAGGAGTGGATCCTAAAGGGAAAAGCGCAAAGCAATGAGCCCTTAGTAGTCCACAC